TAAAACGCCAAAAACTTCCGGCTATTTATGGAGGGTGCGAGTCACTTTATTGCCTTGTTAGCCGAACCAAAGAAGTCACAGTTGTGAGTGACATAAAAAGCGTTTCAAATGTGCGGGGTGGTTTCAGAGGAAATGGCTGTTTGTAGCTTAGTTATTTTATTGTAGTTGAGGAAGCGAGCTAGCAAAACCAACCGATAGGTAATAGACTCCTTACATAGTGAATCGTGACAGTCAACTTAATTAGATTTAGTCGAAACTGACAGCCAAACAGAGCAAGCGACAGTTATAAAGCAATTGCTACTCAACAGCCAATGTTGACGGCTTGGATTTGACTGTTCAGAGTTGGCTGCATAGACTGACTGAGATACAATTCGAGAACCATATTTCAATCAACTCTCGTCTTGTTTCGCTTCTGACGTCTACAAGTACCTTAGTGGGTGAAAGTTGAAATCGTGTTCCGTCTTGAAGGCATTGATAGCCACTGGTGATGATGCGTCACTCCGTCACACAGCCAGTTTACCGATTCTATTGATTTTGCAGGGGTTATCAGCACCGCCATACGTAATGGAAGAAACACACAAAAAGATACTTTACTAAACTCATTTTTACAAAAAAACATGCATTCTTGGACTTTTGTAGCCAACAGAACGCTGGTTTCTCCCTTTATACGGACTTCCCAACATCCATGTATTTTTAAAGCACACATCTGGAGGTTCTCAATCTGCATATCAGACACATTTCCCGCAACAATCTAACATAGCACTTCATGTCCGCACAAATAGGTTTTTTGATGCCAATCGAAAATTACAATGCCCGCCAACCTGGCCGCATGTCTTCGGCGTAGTACTTTTAATTAGAGTATGCCTATGACATTTAGCATGTCGTAATCCCCAGAACTCATATAGTAGAAGAGCATTCGAATTTCCTCACTGTTCTCATCATTTAAGACTTCACATTGGGCAGCTAATGGGTGTATATAGAACGGCCAATGGAAAATTTCAGGTGTTGTATTTTGTGCGCTTTTGCACTATCGCAGTTCAACGTGCGCCGCTATTACATTTCCCGCTCCCGATCGTGTGAACAAATTGGTGTGGAGGGGGTCATGACCCAGTTCGAGGGATGTTCCGGGTGTCAGCGGGAAGATGGCGGACCTAACGGCTGGGTTTGCAACAAGTGGCCCAGTCCATCCCAACCATCGGAAAGGAAATATTGGCAAGTGGTCGATTCGTATCGTTGTTTCGACAAGTTGAACCACGCAAAAGTGCATCAGTGATTCTTGTACTGCAAACATTTTACTATTATAATTCAGTCTGCTAAAACTAAAAAACGGACGGCCCTATGGGTCATTTAATCCCTGTTTTATCGGGCCCTTAGGATAAGAAAACGTGCTAACAAAGATTACCGTTGCAACCACTGGTACATTTTTTAAAACGTCTGTCGAACTGTCTGAATACACCCTTCTTGAATTATTATTATTAGGACCATGACTTCGCTCAGAAAACGAGATTTTGTTAAGTAAATAGTTTTTCTGACGTTAACCAACATAAGAAAACCTTTTGGGTAAATCATGCAGAACCCATTGGCCAGGAAGTAGGCCTAGATACCCCTACCTAATTGTTTAAATGTTTTTCACTTCAAAGCCCTCACACATTAAATCATTGATGACATGGTGCTCTGTCTCATTGGAAGAAAGGTACGCCTCAAAAAATCATCCTCAACACGTCAGGAATATAGAAAATTCTGTAGCATTGCCGGATGTACTTCGTCACAACATATTTGCGCATGAAAGAGAATCGGAACTATGATTCGTAACATTACGATTTTCACTATACATTAGCATTTGCAGTATTTCCCACGCGTGTGCCCAGGTTTTCGTTTCCCCATTTGCGGGAGCTATCATGATCGGTTTTACTGTAAACAGGTATCGTCATTTCGTCCCAAAAGATCAACCTGTTAGTAACCGCGCTGGCTTTCCAGTTTCCAAATTTTATCGTATGGCAACAATTTCATATCGTATAATAATCCTTCTGTTGTTTTTCGATAGCAACTGGGTATTGCAGACGTTGTTTTGGAGTTTTACTTCCAGAATTGTATTGACTGCTGCTACTAAAATACTGAGCATTTGGACTGGAGCCAAAATTGCTTTTGAACACTGGAAAGCACCAACATGCTCATTTGTAGCAGCCGAAGACGTCAAGGATAACACACGCTAAGTTAACAAAGCATTAGGAAGACATCCTGGTTAAGATCAATCTGAATAGACTAGTTAACATGTCGCGATACTCATCCGTACGTAAGGGAAGAAAGAACGTCAAGTAGGCGATAAGGTACAATGGAAAAGGATGGAGTTGCCGATACATATAGCAAAAGTAATCGAACAAGCAGGATGAGTTACAGCCATGGAGTAACCTGTCTGGATGGAGAGGAGACATCGGCATGCCTTCTATATAACCGGTAGGGAACGCAGCGCTGTGATCAATTTCAGGCAAAGACCAAGGGAGGCGCCGAAGTAGAGGAGAGAACGATGCGAACTCAAAGGTCGGTTGCGGGAAAAGAGTTCGGTGGTTATTAGAGGAGGGGACTCCGGCCATCATCACCAGTACGCAGTTATGCCATCACCATCTCCGGTCCGCATCAAGAGTAGTTTTTAATTCAAACAATCCTATAGAGGTGGTTGGGCGTTACACGCTGATCTCCGGTCTCCCAAATCTTAGTTGTTCAGCAAACAATCCAATTTATTTAATTTTTTTCCACTTACTTGGTAGTGTAATTTCCCGACTGTTAACGACTGAAGCTCGACAAAGCCAATCATGCGGTTAATATTTTCCTCCAAACCTGCCATTTCTGGAATCTGTGAATAAAAGTACAAACCATAAACTTGCTAAATCCGAAGTGTCGTAAGACATTCTGGGGAATAAACTTTCATGTGACTTTTACGAAATGGCTTTATTATCTATAAACCGTGATTTGCAAAATAATAGCACTGTGACTGGGCTTCATGGGTAAAGTGTAAAAACTGTTTATTATTTCCATATCATGGAAAGTAATCTTTAGACACTTTGAATCGTGAAGGGTTAGTCGAAATTTCAAAATAGGGTTTTGGTCAGAAGAGATTACATAGGAGCGGTTGTAATAATGGGTAACGCTAGTGTCGTTCTTCGAATGCTTGGCTTTTTAACTGCCTCCATAAATCATAAAAAGGATTACTTACATACATGCCACAATTTGTAGCATTGATTTTCGATGCCTTTTATAGTTAAGAATGTATTTTATTGGAAACAAGCCCAAACATATTTTTCTTGTTCTCCTTTTTGCTGATAAGCACGTCTCATTCGAATTCCCTTCGTAAAGAAGGACATCTCCCGGTCATAAATGACAGTTTCCAATTTTCGGACTAAAGTCGCACCTTATCATCCATTTCATTTGTGTTTAGGATCTCCAACATAATTAAGACGATGCTGCACAAAGATCATGGGAATATGTTATGGATAGGTGCCAAGGTGTACACCTTTAAAGGAGCCCTAATTAACGCACAAATACGATGCTACTCGATCAGGTATTGCACGGTTTCAGAAGTTTTATATTTACAAATTATTCTTTAAATCGAAAGGCATACTTCCTAAAAGCAGGACATTTGAAGAGGACGAAGTTTACTAGAAATGAGTCTTCGCGAGACTTCGGGCGCGTTCAAGCCTAAACACTGTGGTCAAAATACGGACATTTTGTCGGGAATTTGAATGCACTCGTTTTTGATCGACTGAGAATTTAACTTAGCCATCGGTGTTTGATTCATCTCAACCCTTTTTCTAAAGCGCGCGAGGTGCATTAAAAGGGCAAACTGAATGGACAATGGCACTATGCAACTCTATTACCACCGTACTGTAAAGCAGGCTACAGTGATTTCGGTGGAGGCATTTCCAGATCGGAGGTGTTTCGGATCCTAACGTCCGTCTCCCTATGTCAGCATCTGAATAAGTGGTAGTTCCTTAAATGATAGAAAAATATTACTCATCCCATTTGCAGGAGCCACTGTGTTGCCTTGACTGCCTTAACAAAAGCACGCGCGTGTTGAAGCAGGCGGTATAAAAGAAAATTGTTGCAGTAGTGCAATTGGCCGGTTAGACACAAGAATAAGGATTACCTCATATTCCATGCAGCCTTACGCTGCATTCCAGGGAACATAAACGTAACCTTTGTCCTAACCCTCCTAACCCGAGTTCTAACTATTATCCCAGCGCTAACCATACCCCTTGGAAGATCATCCACTTTCCTGAATTCCCCCTAACTCATTAATGCAATCATTTTGATAATTAAGGATAAAAATCGGCATTCCAAAACCAGAGTCCACTTCTCTGACGACGGGTACATTTCTACTGGCGCGAAACCATCTCCTAGATCTTGTTTGAACCAAAATGTGCATAAATGTCCTTTGAAATTAAGCCTTGGAAGCTTCAACAAACCGTGGTGGAGCTTATATACCAACTCAATAACTATCAGCAGGGGTAAACAGGAGTTTATAAACATTTTACGAAAAAGACTGTCACTTTGCATTGATGCAATAATGTAGAAAGTCCTGCTGAATGTTTTAAAAAGAGGCACAGAATACCGGCTTATACTGTTAATAGGATAAAAATGTCAAACCTTATTTTTGTGCATGACTGATCCCATCCCATGTAAGCAACCGCCAGTAATCCATTTTGGGTGCTATGCCGTCTCGTGAGTATTTAAATTAAGTTTGTCTGTCGCTGATGGATTCATTCTGAACGCAAAATTAATGTTACTATTCCCTTGAATGAATAACTTTGTCAACCAGACGGTTGCAGTCCGTCCCACAAATTCATGCTCACTTTTATAGCTCTTAGACTGCATGGTGATCCTTGCCAAAGGAACCTGCGGCTATCTTTTCGGCGTAGCGGCAGCGGTAATACCCCACTTGTCAATTCACTGCTCACGCAACGTGTAACTCGGTCTTTGGCTCGCTGACACTGGGACGACAATCGATGTTTCTGTCTCCAGCGCCTGGCCGCGGCTGGACGAATCTCAGGCGCGCAGAAGGACGGACCACCATCACCAACGTCACTACTACTACTGCTACTTCCACTGCTACTAATACTACTACTGCTAATACCACTACTATTATTGCTACTAATACTACTACTGATACCACTGCGACTACCATCATTAACGACAACTCGACCGTCGTTATCGACATTGTCTGCCGTGTGCGCCACAGCAGGGCAGACGACGAGATGGGCAGGGCGCACACCGTCGTAATCACCACCACCACCACCACCACCACCACCACCACCATCACCATCACCACCACCATCACCAACACGAACACCCCCACCACCACCACCACCGACAGCTCGACCATCGGTTTCGATGATGTCCACCGTGTGCCCCACAGTTGCAGCAGCAATGGGAGCAGGGACGGTGACTTACGCAGGGGTTTATAGTGCCGGTAGACTTGCGTAGCATCTACCTGCACTCTCTCCTCCTCCCTCGTCCGAGCCCGGTGTCAAGACAGAGTCAAAAAGACCGGAGACGAGGGAGGCCGCAGGTGGATGGCTCGGACGGATCCTCACCTTGGCGTTCCACCACACCCCCTGGTCCAAACAACAATAACCAAGATTTCAACCAACACAACAGAGATTTGGAGGCTGGCACGGCCGAAGCCGCACCTGGGCATGCCTGGGAGTGATGGGAGTGCCATAAAGGCCACATTAAAAAGGAGCCATTGCAGCCTGACCCTCAGACCGCCTTCAGTCAAGGAGGAGGTCCAAGGTACCCCGTCAGTTGGCAACCTTCCAAGCCACGGCTTTCAGCGCACTGTGATAGCTTCAAGCGCGTCAGACTGTTTATAGTGAGGAGAAAGTGCGCTGAGTCGTCGACCTCACTCTCCCTTCCCACTCCCACACCCCAGCCGCTGTCCGAGCCGGTCAGCAGACTGGAGTGGGAATGGGCGCGGTGGCTGTCATGGTCGACTGACCATGACTGCGCGCGCCACGGCACGACCTGGCCCCCCATACATACAACACCAGGATTTCACACAACGGGGGTTGAACGGCGTGTCTCTCACTTGCGTGAGAGTGCAGTGGAAGGTGCTGTTTCAGCCCGTCCCCAGCCCACCACCACCATTTCCCACATGATCGACTTCGGTGATATCGGCGGCAGTGGTTCTTCGATTACAATGAAAGTGTAATGGGAGAATATTCCCTGAATGCAAGTCTGATGGACATTTCTCTGAACCATTTGACGCCGGAAACCAAATAACCGCGCAGTTGATGACCTACTGACGTCGATTAACCCGTGGACGTCAGCAGCTCACCAAAACCTATTAGTTTATCTGGGTCCGAATAAATAACTTGTTGGTATAATCATGCGAACGTGGTTCCTTCCACAGCTGACGTCGCAGACATAGATGGGTATGGATGCAGGAAACGACATCAACCCTCCTTCCTGGAGCTGACGTTTTAATCTGCCCCAAGAGGTCACAATCGCACTGGTACACTATCTGGCACCTGTTGATGCTCTTTACTGTTTGTTGTTCGTTATAGTGGTTCCTGGCCTGCCACAAATTTGTAAGTGGCGGTTTATTCATATGTGTTCTATTTACTGGAAGTTGCTTTTGTTATTTATTAAGTGACGCACTTAATTCCAGATTGGCAAAGTTGAGAGATCCGGGTTGATTATTTGAAGAAGAAGAAGAAGAAGAAGAAGAAGAAGAAGAAGAAGAAGAAGAAGAAGAAGAAGAAGAAGAAGAAGAAGAAGAAGAAGAAGAAGAAGAAGAAGAAGAAGAAGAAGAAGAAGAAGAAGAAGAAGAAGAAGAAGAAGA